GTCTATACAAAAAACTTGTATATTATGCCCAGTGCCTGTCTCGCACCGAGCGTCACATCGACAGTAGCCCCATCTGCCGTCAGAGTCATTGACACACAATTCGTCACCTGCAAGCCTTGCTTCAGCTCGCGCTGATACAGCTTGCTCTCCATGACTGCACAGCAAACTTGGGTATCAAAGATGGAAAAAAGAGCCTGGTGCGGAGCGCCCTTCCAGGTAGCGCCGGCCGCGACAGCCAGCGCCAGCTTCGACCCGTTGTCAAAGGCGATTTGCGTTGCGTGGGAGCCGCCCTGAATCTCGGCATTGAACAAGATGGATGCGAGATATTCAGCTCCCGCCGGAGAAATGTCCAGCTTCAGCAGACAGTCGGCAGACTCTTCGTCAAGAGGCAGGTACGCCGTCAGCGACCCTCGCGGCGTGCTGTTGCCAATGTCCACAGGCGCGGCCCGTCGGATGATGTTGTGCCAAAAGTTGCCGAGAATGCTGGCGATGCCCGCCATTGAGGCGCTGTGATGCAACTCTTGCGGCGTGCCGAATCCGGATATGCTTCCGGGGGTAAGCGAGTCCACGGTGCCGTCGAGGAGGTCCGTAGAGCCGAGCCACGACCTATCCGCCAAGGATTCAGAGCCATGCGAAAGATCGGGATACGGGTAGCCACTGCTTGGGCCCAAGTCTAATTCACCATCCAGATTTGTTGATGAAAGGTCCAAATTTCCTTTTTGCTAACGGTTACTTGAGAGAGACATGGAGCACGCACACATGGAGCCAGTGCCTATCCAACTTACCAGCCATGTTGGCCGCATCACTGAGCGAGCCCTGGACGCCTTGCCGTCCGGGTTCCGTCATCTGCCGCATCAGCGTGTCTGTGCTGTCCAAAGGAGCTATCAAGGGCCCGTCAATACAGCCAATTCCGGGCCCGATGGTGTGAATTCGATGCTTACCTTGTGCAATCTGTGGTATTACAAGCTCCTTGGCCAAGGACCGTATCATTGGACAGTCGATTGCGTCGGCTGTCTTGACCTCTTGCAGCTTCCCAATCAAGACTGCCCGTTCACTCTTGCGCATCGTCGTGATCTTGTGCTGACCTAGCTCTGTGGCACACAGCAAGATCCCGTGGGGGCCGCACCGTTCCGCGACTTCATATAGAAACACTCGATACTCTTGGCGGCTCCTCGACGACTGCGGGCTCTGCAAGACATCAACCGCCTCCCGAAACATGTTTTGCTTGCTCAGCGACAGAGAGCAGCGGATGCGCAATCGCCGTGCCCCGTCCAAGATGGCGGCATAAGCTTCGTCGCTCCCAATCGCCTTGCGGGACGGCCGCGCCTTTGCTTGTGTTGCCATTGTCATGGTTTAAACCCCCCGTTCTTCGAGTGGAGTGAACGTTTTTGACGGGAGAGCGACCCCGAAATGCCGCTAAATTAGAGGGCTATGGGATTCCGCGAGAACCATTGCGAATCTTGTCCCAACTACGTCACTGGGCGGAAACTTGAACACCCCATTACATAGGGAATGCAAGGGGGGGGGGGGGGGACAAGGTGACGCGTTTGAACATGCACCCGCATCTATACTCCTTCCTTGTATCCACGCCAAGGCCCAAGGTGCCCAATAACAGGAGAGGCATAATCGGCCCAGCGAGTAAGTGGGCAGCGGGGGAGCAGACACGGATATAAAGCTTACGGAACGGCTGCCGGAATACGAACAGTACTACTGCACAACGTTCACATCATTGTCGCATCAAAGAATCCTGCAGCCTCGCGTTCAAGCCCAGCTGAATCCAAGTAAAGTAATCGTAAACAGCAACTTCCCCGTGATACCATGATATCCTTGGATGCATTCAATCTCGTTGGAACTCTCACTGAGAGCAAATATGCTCTCCAGCGAGGCCCTTTCAGCCTTTCTCCCACATGGCCGTCATTTCCGGCGGCGACTGGTCGCAGTTTCAGAAGCCAGTCTACCAAAGCTCTACAGGTACCGCGACGGCGCCCGGGAATTCCCATCTTTGCCGACCTTCTTTTCCGAGACCAGAAGGAAGGAGATCATCGACGCCACTGATGCCTCACTGGCCGCCACCGGCTTCACATGTCATAGTAAAAATGCGGATCCACACCTTCATTAATGTGAATCAGACCTTTAGAACTAAGTAAGTCGCATGCCTAATTTACGGCACTAACCTTCGGGAATTGCCCTCTCTCCAAGACTTTTGTGGTGTGTGTGTCGGCGGGAGTTGGACGTAGGACTTTTATCAGCTATTTTTAAGACAACAGTATTAACAGAAGTTATAGGTGGCTAGACCACTAGAACACCTCCTAGGCTTATAACTGTTGTAGTAAAAATGCGGCTCTACACCTTTATTAATGTGATATAGGCCTTATATGTTCATATCACACCCTGGTCAGACCTGGGGCCCCGCATTGAAGATCATCGCCGAGAGGAGGCAAAGGGATCCCGACTTTGCTACAAGGGATCCCGACTTTGCTACTGAGTGATATGGGTAAGTCTCGTATCCTAGCAGGTACCAACAAGGAGGATCAAAGTATTTACAGGGCTGCGAGCACCCCTGTCTGCTAGGTTAGAACAGGGGCCAATTTGTGCAGTAGAAAAAGATACAGGCATGCATTACTTTCGCAGAATACAACCGTAAGCGCAAGGTCATCCAGCAGGACCTGTGCCGCCGCCTGCCCGACCTATCCATGCATCAACATGGGCGGTACCACCTCAATCGACGCCATATTTTCGGGTGGAAACGATTATCCTGCCAAGGAGATTGGGCTCAAGACGGTGCTCCTGCGTGACCCGGACAACGGACAACACACTGACTGCCATTGCACCCATCTGCGCCTGCCTGCAGTAGCCCGCAGCTGCAACTATCCAGTTCATATACGAGCGCCGTGTCAACCCGTATTGTAATCCATAGTGAACTGGCGGTACAGATTTGTTGCAATCACAAGAGGAAAGCGGTGTGCAAACGGGTGACTAATGCACCTAGCCGAATTTACACGTAAGTT